CCTCGGAGCGAATTCTGCTGGAACCATACAAGTACTTGTTGCAGCTGCCAGGTGAGTCTTTTTCCATGTCAGTGGCTTCAGAGTGGCAGATGAGGTGGACACACACAGACGTGCAGCTTAAGAGTCCTCAAAAGCCACATACGCTGCTGATGAGTCACGCTGGATCGTCATGTTAGTCACACTGAATCATAGCATCAGCAAAATGCCTAGGGTGACGAATGTGATGAGAGGCTGTTTGTACATGCTGCAGACATAATAACAAAAAAACATGCACCCAGCATTCACCATAAACTGCATGAGATGAGAGGAGATAACACTTTGCCTTGTGTTATGAGGAGATACAGCTTTATTTCGTGTAAGTGTGTACAGTATGGCACAATAAGCTTGAACTTAAATTAATCCATTTAACTTATTCAGTTCAGTCGTTTTTCACATTGTGTTCACATGTTTTGTTTTGGAACACAATCATGACAATTGACAAATATGGTGCTTACATTTTAAATCTGTGTTTTGGCAACAGGATATGGTCTCACTATGTTAAAGATGTTATTTTATTAATGCCTAAGTTATATGGTTTTGATTGGCCACTTTTGTCAGTGAAGAAGTGACTCCCCTAACTCCAGAATTGTATTTGGGTGAACAGTACGTCCTTGGAGTTTCAGTTAGTTGGGATGTTTCCTCTGTTGCAACATTACTGGAAGGCTTTCCCATTAAAGGGGCATTATGGAGTTTTCAGCCGCCACTAGTAGTGTGGTTTTAAGATGGCAAGCAGGTGTGCTCCTACGCGTGCTCGCCTGAACTCATGAGCAAGCATAATGTGAAAATAACCGCTTTCATACAGAGATCCTGCAATCAACACGGAAACATCAGCATGCCGACGGTGGCTTTTCACACAGACATGTTAGGCTCTGTTACTTCAACGTTCCCGCGTCATACACGTAGACTGTATATAAAAGGTCATACAGTGCAGCGAGCCAGCATATTGGAACAGTACTCCCAGGAAAAAAGGCAGTGTGACAGTAGCTATAAACAAAAAGGACACAGCTTCACACAACATGCTGGGAACTCAGATAAACTCCAACAGCAATGTTACAGTAATATATTTTATCAGCTTGAGGTTGAATTAATCCATGCTCACAACATGAAAATGTTACATTTACTGCATTTAGCCGAGGTTATTCATCAGGGTTAGCTCGTCTGCCACTTTTCAGTAACGTTACTGTGTATCTTTCATCGGAGGCTCAGCAATGTGAGCACAGCTAAATGTACTGGATGATAATGAAACAGTTGGTACAAACAAGATTGTTGATACACTTTATAAAAGGTAGACCGTAGTAAGTAACATTACTGTAGAGAATGTTTCTTCCAATGTGGTGATGTTCTATGCTGTCTTGTATATTACGTGGGTGACGTAAGTTACAGAGATTGAGACACTGAAGAAGCTGTGTACCTGATAAATATATCTCTATTGCTTAAATTTGTACTCACACCAGTCTGTGTTAAGATTGTTGGAGTGAGCAATCAGATAACAGGCCTTTAAACTTTTTCTTTAAACAACAGAACACTTCCTGTGCTTGATTTAGGCCAGCTACAGAGCCTTCTTTGCTTTAATTATTTGACTTTTTTGATTCAGTTATTCTAGCCAAGTCACCTCCACAGTTACCTAAACGGAGTGTGTTTGTGTGCTCAGTCTGTATTGCATGTTAGCAGTTGGCTCTGCAATACAAAAAAAAAACTGAGGTAATGGATTAACTGGGGGTAAATTGTCAACCTTTAAATTAGGGCTGAACATTAAACCAAAATCTTATTGAAATTGCAATATGGCCTATATGATCAAAAAACGCTTGGCATTTGCAAGATTTTAGGTTCTGGACGAAATGCAATCCTCATGAGTTTTTGGAGGCACTCCTCAGCAAACAAATGCGTGCATGGCATTGTCCAAAGAGAATGCAGGAGAGATAAGTTGATCATAGCCTTTTGTTATCGGGAGACAATCATCAGTGCCCTGGGCCAGAAAATCAATCTTGGAGAATTAGAGATTTTAAGGCGGGCATGGAGGGTAGCTGGCTGCGGAAAGGGGGTGTGTCGGACGGCAGGTGTGTGGCAACGGAGTCAGAAGAGAAGTTAAAACGACGAGCCAGCAAGCATCTGAACAGAGAACACTTCTCTGTGGGAGCAACAATGGATATGACAGCACAGCAGAAACAGATCCCCGTCTCTCAGGAGAAGCAACCCTGGTGGGGGGGGTTTCTTTACCATCGGACAGGCTGTGCCAAAGGAGCGGTCTGCAGTCGGAAGCTGACAGCAGGGGACACACAGAGAGGTCTGCACAGACTCATGCTGGCTCTTCCGTGGTGGAAAAGCTACAAGCAGAGACACCGATCCTGGACTTCAGTTTCACTAAAGGTCTACACATTATGCACCTCAATGTTCGCGGTCTTCTTTCCAAATTAGATAAGATTGATGATGTGTAATAGTAAAGTTGGGATTGTGTGTTTTTCAGAAACCTGGCTGGACGCTTCGATCAGTGATACAGAAACTGAAAATTATGTTGTCTTTGCGAAAATCACAACATAAATAGGTTTTTCAATGAAAATGAGAAGAATTATGTAAAAATGATCATTCCCTCTAATATCGCAAATCTTACCACAATTGCAATTTTAGTCAAAATAAGCGCAATAATATTACTTACTTTTCTTTTTTTTTTCAGCTCTACTTTAAATAACTGCTTGATTATATTTTAAAATATGTTATTTTAGAATATTTCTGGTCTGTTTGGACTCTCTTATAAAGCTATTTCTTGGTCTATGTCAATAGTGAGAGTGTAATCAGTCTGACCTCATACTAGGGCTGGGCGATGTGGCCAGAAATGTTATCACGATAAAAACATTTCATATCATTTGATATCGATAATTATCATGATACATGTCAAATAATTATTTCTTTCAAGTTTAAAGGCTGATTTTTGCTCCTGATTGAAAATTGAAGAAACCAGGTTAATTATGTGGTTAAACTTTTCTTTATGGTCAGAATGTGACAAACACATAATGCCAAACAGTGGATCACTTCAAGTCTGAGTTAGAACATTTAAAACTATTATCTTTTTCAACAAATATGATTAGTTAATCTTTTTTCAGGCCTCTTTTTTTCTTTTTTTTTCTTTTTTTTTTTTTTTCAACAAAATAAATATTTTAATAGAAAAATTAGGTGCTAATTTGTTTTGTGATTCAAATGAATTAAAGCAAATATTTATTGACGATATATTGAACATTCATTATATTGTTATTGAGGGAAATTATATTATGCTATAATTATCATTATTGTTTTATTGCCCAGCCCTACGTCATACTGTATTTATATTAGATGAAGTTATGACAACAAGAATGGGAATATGTAGCAACCATGCATGCACCAGCTGTGTTAATATAGCAAAGTGTGAATTTTCAAATATCAGCAACACAAGGTGGGGAAAAATGCTAATCTCAGTGAAGCCTAAACACCAAAGCCCATTTTTAATGTAGACTGAGCTCATTGTGATCTTTTTCCTTTGCATACTACAGACATATTTAAAACACTTAAACTTTTGTTTTCCGCTCTCTTCTCAGGAAAGCAGGTGAGGACAAAACTGTCCCAAGCATTTAACCACTGGCTCAATGTTCCAGACGACAAACTGCAGGTGAGAAATCAGCCATTTCAGGCCTCGTGTTTATTGTAGTAGACGGGTCCAGGAAGGTGAAATGATGCTGTGCTCATTCTGCATTGGCAGTTTATTTTGTAATGCAACCAGTGTAATGAATGTTCTGTCAGCTCAGTTGTTCTAACTGAATGTAAGGCTTTGGATGTAGAGCACAGAGCATCTATGATTTATTACAGAAGGTTTTAATGCATCTGAGGATCAAGTGGAATGAAATGAAAAGGGTGGAGCGACACCTTCAAAAACAAAACGGCTCTGTACATACATTTGTTTGATCTGTAGGTTAAATAATGCAGCTTTCCCTTACTGATTTCAGGAATCTTTTGAAGTTGGAAGCATTTTGTTTGCAGTGCGTTTAAGATCTTGTCTAAAGTAAGGAAATCTTGGCCTAAATGCTAAAGCTGCATCAAACAATTTTAAACTAGCGGGGGGGACAGAATAACTCTAAAACATGTTGATTATTGAAACAGATGTTTACTTAAACATCCATCAGACATGGACCAACATTATCATCTCATCTGAGTTACATTTATGTCCAGTGGTTAGTAATGTCTAATTGTATGGTATCATTCTATTTACGGATAAAGTCCCACCTACTGCGGATGTATTCATAACACCTTGGCTTATTATTCTCATTCTATTCGCCATTTCTGACAAGGTTGCTGTTTATACTGTTTCATTTGAAGTTGTCCACTCATGACTCACAGCTTTAACACTGCTCAGCTGGCACATTAATAACATTATTTAATAATACTAGAGAACATTTATCAAAATTCTTTAAAAGAAAGTAAAAAAAAGAAACAGCTATTGATGGGTACAGTACAAACTAAACTAAACAAAATTAAGCACTATACAGCAGAAACACGGTCACAGGCTTTCAAATCCATGAATACCTGCCGCCTAGACTTGAGTCTGCGCCTGTCATATGAAATGTGCCGTATAAATAAACTTGACAAAAACTGTTTTTTACCATATCCATAAAGATGAATAACACTGATGCAAAAAATTAGTTAGTGTTTTGACAGTTTATAGTGTCCATACCTTTTTTAAAAAAAAACAAAAAAAAAACAACACAGGCTTTATCTACACAAATTCATTTTTCTAATCTTTTGCACATTATTTGCACCTAAATGTGTATGTGATTATTTACTGAATTCAATTCACTGTATTTTCATTCATATCAGTTTCTATTTCCTGTTTTGGTGCTCATGTCTTTGTCTTTATGTACATGCTGGTCATGTGACACCCACCCCCACCCCTCCTACTACTACTCGACTCGCCAGATGAACTAGTTCAACTTTTTTCTCTTGAATGTTGTCATCTGCCACCTTCCTTTCTTACTCCACATCATCTGAAATTAATAAAAATCAGTTTGAATAGATTCCGGCATGAATCCCATCTGTACCTGAAAAGCCTCTTTTATAAGGCATGGTGTCTATCACCCTGCGTTTCTAACCAGAGAGTGCTGTTTCTGGTTGGAGTGAAAGCAAGATTTCCCAGTGAGTTGTGGTCTTTATATTATAATCACTAAGCACTTTAACTGACTGCACGTGAGCCGTTGTCAAGCCAATTTCTGAGAAACTGGTCTGATTCCCAGACTCTAAAGCACTGAGTTTTTTTCTTCCTCTAGTCACATTAGATTTCTCTTTTAAAGTTGGATGGAAAAAGGAAGACACTAAATTGATGGTAATAACTGCAAGAGTCGCAGTAACTGTTGATTCTAACCCAGGGGTTTCCCCAGGATTCCTGAATATGATGGGGATAGTTACCTTTTGTTTATTGTATGCTAATATTGCATGATAAAATGCATGTAACACTTTATTTGGGAAGTGAGATATAATGGAAGGCAGCACACTGTCTTAGTCATCAAATCTATGTGAGTGTGTGTGCTTTTTGAATGACAGCACTTAGGCCATGGTAGCTAATTGTTTTATTGTGTAGTGTATTCCAGATGGTGCTGTAAATGATAGTGACAACGAACTATTAAGCAGCATTTTTAGGGATTGATTGTGTATTGTAAGACATGCTGGACCAACATTCATCTCAAGTGAGAGACTACTGCTTCTTTTTTAACTTCTTGGGTTCCTGATCACCCCTGTGAGCAAAGGATTAACAAGATTCAAGTCTCAGTTAGCTTCCCAGGCAAACGTACACCTCCACTCATCCATAGCAGAGTTTTAACACATTCTTGGATGCTGGCTGATTAGATTGCAACAGACATATTGGAGTGTATATACAGATAGCAGGCTGAATGGCATTTCTGCTTTTCCTTAGTCAGATTAATTTTAAATTAGCCAGTTAGGATGTATTTGCTTTATTGAGCAGCACCCTCACCACTGTCCGCTTAGGGAGTGGAGGCCATTGGCCTCATTATACTGATTGCATTAGCATTGTTGTGGCTGAATACCGGTTCTGTGTCCACTGATGAAGATATGGAGACTAAGCTGCGTTTTCTGAATCTATATGCCTTTCGCAGTGCAGAATGCTAAGTGCTGAGCCTGTCAGGTCTCATTAGGTTTGCTGTTCAACAGTCCCCCCACCCCGAGCGAAGCTCAGAGGTCAGACTGGTGTCTCCTGTGGCCATTTCATCTTCCAGTGCACAATAAAAGTCCTGTGGAGGAGTAATAAAGTTGTTGAATATTATAGCTCAATCCTGTGATGTCAGCCCTCCCCCTGCTACAGTATCCATCTCACACTTTGCATCCGTGGAGATGTATTTAATCACAGCTTTCACACTGCTACTATTACTGTGGGCTGTATGTCTTTATAAAAGGAGCGACTCAACATTCAAAGTGGCGTTTATTATTATTTTTACATTACATGCTGCTGCATTCCTTGATTGATGTAGTGCTGCCATATTCAATTCAGGTGCACATAGGCTCGTTAAAGCTACACTGATGTTAGAGTTTTGAGTTTGACTGATCAGCTTTTGATGTCGATTAGTTGGCAGTTCATTTGGCCTACATTCATATGCAGATTGAAACCAAATCTACTTTTGTTCTCCCGATAATTCCACTTCAGACAGAATGGCCTTGTTACGGTACAGCGGGTAGTTGAGGTTTTAAATTTACCTCACATATCAAAGGATAATCTTGCCCTATGACTCCCTCTGCCCCCCCCCCCCGTGCAGCAGCTCTATAAACTCCTGCTGAACCCATCATGCAGACTCCTCTCATCACCATTAGCACACTGCTGCCAAGAAGTCGCCGCCATGGAAACAACCGTGCCTTGAGATAGATGGAGGCAGTGACAATGTCTCATTCACTTGGCAATGAATTTTTTATCAAAGCCCCATATGTGCTTCTCTACAGTGTAGTACAGCACAGGTTGCGGAGGTTTAGGAAATTCCCCCTGTTCACATCGGTTACCTTGCGACCTTTAGCTGACTGGCTTCCTCCTGTTCTCTGTGACAATGTCGAAAGGTTAGCTTTTATATACTATTTTCTCACTTTGAAAACATGTGTCTTTCATGAGAATGTCTGCTGCCTCGGGCTCTGAGGTACTAGTAGGTTTTAACATGACGGATGCAGAGTGATACTAGAACTGGGTTGCAGGTTAGCATATCAAATATGTGTAGCAACTCATAACTGTGGGACAGTGTTACAACAGTAATTCCTATTTAACAGGTGAAATTTCTGGCTACAACCTGTTATGTATTAGAGGGTTATCATTACATCGAGCAGATAAGAGGTTGTGACAACAGCAGATTGTATTGCAGTAAAGTCTGGATCAGGCTAGACAGTACATTTGTATTGCAGGGTTTTTCCCAGGAAGTAGTTTAGCTGCAGCAGACCCTGACACATCTCATCTCGTGATCAATTCAGTTGCTAGATGACAGCCTAAGCAATAGCCACACTTATTAAATATATGACCTTTGCTGAAATAGCTCGTCTGTTCTTTTCTCTAAATGTTAATGTGTGATTTCATAAGTGTATTAATGTTGTACGATGACAGTGAAGGTGCGCCACCATGTCTATAAAACACTGCAAGAAATGCCTGTATTGTAAGTTAGTTGATTAGTTGCGGGCTCTATTATCCACTTTGTGGGAAATTGTGAGGACAAACTGATGGGATACGGAATCAAGGAACAACACAATTTAAAAAAACAAAACATAGGCCTAAATCGAGGATTAAGATTATGCTGTGACTTCTTGAGCATCTTCCAAAAATTGGTATGGCCATGTTAAAACCTTGGCAAGACTTCTAACAGTCCTGCAGTCTGACTCAGGTGTACTTGCCGTGGTTAGCACCTACTGTAGTCTCTATGTGAGACAGGTTTATGGGTGCACATAACTCACTTGTCTGTTTCATAGTTATTTACCCTCAATGTATTGGTCCCAATGCACTCGTTTGTTGTGAAGGAATCTCTGCGTTCTTAATGGATCACCGATTGTAGCTTCGGCAAACACTGAGTTTCTGGGTCAGTAACCTCTGGTGATAATCAATGAAGTCTTGTGGAGGCACTTGGCACTTAGACAGCAGCATTATACAGCGACAGGCTGACTAATCAGAATCCTTGGAGAACGCAGACACACCTATGTCCAAAATCGGAAAACTTTTTGTGTTTGGGTTTCATAGCTGCTGTTGGTATCTGACGCTGTTGTTTACATGAATTTTAAGTCTTGTCTTGAATGTCCCCTTGTTCCTTTGTCATGACATGGAATTGTACTTCACAGAGAGAACAGTCAGTTTGCAATGAACCATCGACTCCATGAGGGTGTTTTTGGCTGCATAATATTCCATTTTGTCGTTCATGTGAGCATTCATTGTACCTTTACCCACAGACCCCTCCCCCTCCCCCCTCTCTTGTAAGTGGCTCACTGAGGTTGCAGGGTGAGCGAGTGTCGAGACCCTGCCACAGGAAAGGTTGTGTTTGGCGGATAAACTGCTCAACTGGCCCAGCCTTGGCCATCTGCCTGACCCACTGAGCCTCTCTTTGTGCTCCCCAGCCCCATACAAACAGCTTTCATTACCAGGCCACACCACTTGTCTTTTAAATCAGCAGAGCACTCCAGCAGGCTGCACAGCGAGACCAAGACAGCAGACACCTGATAGTAACCCCGGCTGTTTTGTGTTGAACATGGATGTGAAATAAAGCCATTTTTGGTTGTCAGGTTAAGGCTCCTCCTGATGGACAGAGGACGGTTTGCTATAAGTCTTGACTCACCGCAGTTGTGCATATGTGTTAATGTTGATATAGGCTTTAATACAGTAAAGCTGTTGGAGCTTGTCAATACACTCATCACTTATGGCTCTGTACTAAGCCCAGGTCATTCTCTCTTTAGAGGAGGCAAAAGTGTGCTAAGCCCTGTGGTGTTGCATGTAATTGCTTAACAATGTGAATCCTCTAAACTCATCGAGCCACTGTTGCTCTCCCTCAGGCACGACCTCGGAGTTTCAGAGCAGACCAGGTAACATCAACAGCAGTCCTATCAATCTCTGAATCTGAAACGGTCCCAGTCTAGAGTGTGTTTTTGCTGAACTCTCTGACTGCCTGGTTAGTTTCAGCAACAACTATTCTGTCTGCTGATGATCCACTAGTGGAGCAGTGCAGGCAAGAGTATTGACATGGCACCCTCTGCTGTATACAAGTTGTAATGCATCATTTACATAGAGCTTCAGACTGTCTGTGTTTCTAGTCAAGAGAAGGGTGAGGGTTTTCTCAGTTTAAGTATCATTATTCCCGAAAGTTAGTACAGCAAAACATCAAAACGTGTTCTATACTATGAAATTGAAAAGCTCATATGATTGTCACACTCACTCTCAAACTATGCATTTGTCATTTCTGCATAATCATGTAATTTAATAATCATTTTGTTTGTGTCAGGTGATTATCACAGTGACAGAGATGCTGCACAACGCCAGCTTGCTCATAGACGACATCGAGGACAGCTCCAAGTTGCGGCGAGGCTTCCCCGTGGCCCACAGCATCTATGGCATTCCCTCCGTCATCAACTCGGCCAACTACGTCTACTTTTTGGGGTTGGAGAAGGTGCTGACCCTGGATCACCCTGAGGCTGTCCAAGTGTTTACCCAGCAGCTGCTGGAGCTGCACCGTGGTCAGGGCCTGGACATCCACTGGAGGGACACCTACACCTGTCCCACAGAGCAGGAGTATCGCAACATGGTGCTGCAGAAAACTGGAGGGCTCTTTGGCCTGGCCGTGGGCCTGATGCAGCTCTTCTCGGATTGGAAACAGGACCTGAAACCCCTCCTGGACACGCTGGGCCTCTTCTTCCAGATCCGCGACGACTACGCCAACCTCAGCTCTCATGAGTACAGCGAGAATAAGAGCTTCTGTGAGGACCTGACCGAGGGCAAGTTCTCTTTTCCCACCATTCATGCCATATGGTCGCGTCCGGAGAGCACCCAGGTGCAGAACATCCTGAGGCAGCGCACAGAGAACATGGACATCAAACGATACTGTGTGGACTACCTGGAGAAGGTAGGCTCGTTTGCCTACACCCGTCAGACTCTGCGGGACCTGGAAGTGGAGGCCTACCGCCTCATCGGGGAGCTTGGGGGAAACCCTCAACTGGAAAGCCTTGTCAAACACCTCAGCCAAATGCACCACGAGGCTGAGGCCACAGCAGAGTCCCGTACTGAGCCACGCCACAGCCACAGCCCCTGACCTCACCCACCTTTCGCTGCTACGCGAATCACATGCTAGCCCAACACACTCCACTAACACAGAAGCTTTGCTAATGATGCAGACATACACATTCCTGAAAACGCACACAGCGGTATGTTACAACTATTTTATGGGTCACTCATTAACCTTGAGAAGTTGAATTTTGATATTGACAGCTTTGACTGCAGCTATGAGACAGCAAATCAGCCACAAATGTTGCCTCTCTCTTTTGTGCAGTAGATCCTTCAAGTTTTGCTTACACATCAGTAAGTTATATCCAAGTGTAGGCGTGTGTGTCAGTGGAAGAAATTAATTTATAGAGAAACTAACTTGTTATGGTTTTAAATTTGCTTTCCTGAAAATGACAAATAATAAGATGACAACAAAGTGTAAAAGCCTTCCTTTTGATGTGCATATAAATGTTGTTTTTTTTTTTAATGTTTTGGTGTTTTTATCAGGGTGGAGTGAATGGTTGGTGTATTTTTTCTGAAGTCCCTGTTTAAAATCATGTGGATGTCCTGAGTGTATGATGTCAGATTTGGGGATCCTTAATCATTAAGCCACCGGAGTGCCAATCCTTTAGAAAAGCCCTCTGCAAATCAATTGTCAAATTGTTATGTAACATGCTGGCATTATATGCAAAGTAGTGCATATGAATGCTCTGTTGATACTTGGGTTTAATGCAGACGGTTTTTCCTTCTGGTTCAGATTCAGAACATCTCTGAAATTGTATTAGGGTGATTCAGTTATATTTGTAAGTAGACACTGTGCTGCAGTTAAGAACTTATTTACATCTATTGAATAAAAAAACGTTTAAATATAACCTGTGGGCTTGTCTCTGAAACATCTCCCTGTGGCATCAAGGCTACTTTGGTTTTTATTGTTTTGAACTGAACATGTTTAATGAAATGGGCACCCTTCTCCAGAGATAAGTAGCACCATCTACTGAGCACACAGGTGTTATTGAAAACCAAAAAAGTTGTGTCTTTCTGCCTTTTACAGTAGTTATAAGCTTCTTTCCTACACTGCACCTGTCTCATCTAGGATCTCAAACATTAACCTATGCACATCCCATCATCCCATCATTACATAACATTGAGCCATCATCCATAGTATATGTAATCTTAAGCCTTCTCCTATATGCACCAGAAGCCTGTGTTTATTTGTCAAGGCAACCAATACTTTTGCAGCTGCGTGTTGAATAGTGGAGGCTGCAAGACAACTTGGCAGATTCAAGTTATTGTAGAATGGGCTGCCACGTGCTTTGTTTTGAGGGACCTTGACTGAACACTCGCACAGAATGGTTGCTATGGACATGGTTGGTGTTTTACTGCGAGCTTGGTCTGAAATACAAGGCATCAGTCATCTTAATTCTGTATTATCTGCTGCTTCTGTTAATACTGTTGTGAGTTTTTCCCTCAGCTGCTGAAAAGAAGCGCAGCCCTGCAGACAGAGGCTATCTGTCCCAGACAGCTCTGTTGACTCACTGATGCTCTTGCTCTTGACGGCTGCAATTCAGTTAATTGTGTCTTTCGGATTGAATTGTGGCATCTGTGAAAATACATCTATTCATCAAAATGTCAAATTCTTGAAAATCTGCGGGACCGGTTTCCTCTACTAATTTTCCTTCCAAGCAGCCACAAGTGCAGGAAAATGTGATGCAAATGCAATTCTGATTTGATAAACAGCAGAGACATATCAAGTGGCTTTCGCAGAGCTGACATAAGTCCATCACAATAATCAAAGCCTCTCACGGTTCTCATTTCTTCTGTCTCGCTAGGTTGACTAGATTGATTTTCTCCACCCACAGTGTCTGAGTTCTGTTTGAGAGCAAAACAAAATAGCTTTTGTGTGAAGAGCGACATGGCTCACTCACTGTCTCCCTCATCCACTGCAAGCTTTGGATTATTTATCACTGGGCTGCGCTTTACACATTTGTGTTGCTTGGTAGCACTCCAATAGATACTTCATAAATATTCTCGTGGCAGCAACATTTTGAAAACCTCATTGCTGATAATGGAAATAGATTATGCTGTGTTCATACGCCGACACCCATCCCAGTCTTTTCGTTGTGTTAATTTATACCTTTAAATAATTACTGGGTAAAGTTGACTGAGATTGCTGTTTTTTGGTGCACCTTGCTTGACAGGTGTACAGTTGCACACATTTTACACTTTGGAACAACTGCAGAGCTGCTGAGCTGCTCCACTGGAGCAAATGGCAGGACATTTTATTCCTCTACAAGAGCCTCTGAAGAAATCCACCAACACAACTGCTGAAAGCTTTCAATGTGATTTCAACTGGTTTCCATATTGAACCATGTTCCATGATGGTACCCATGAAAGCCCATTTTTTCACACTGATGCCTTTTTATTTTTAAGAGGTCACACATATATACTTTCGTTTTTAAAGGCTGAGTAACTTAAAAAACAGCTGAACAATTGTTGGACTATTTTCAGCTGCTGAGTTGATGTACTAGCAAATATCTATGACAGCAGGATGCAGTACATAGGATTGACATAGAACAGGCCACAGTGACCGTGTTCATGGTAATGAACCCAGTGCAACCAAGTTTCACATTGATATTTTTCCATTCGTTTTTTGGAAAACGATGGTACAGAAAAATGAGCTAAATCAGGCATTGGACACAGACAATTCTAATTAGTAGGATCAATTTAGTGTTGGTTTGGTCTTTGCGTGGGATTTGTTGACAAGTTATGTTAAAAATATAGAATTTTGACAGACTTATCCTGCAATGTCACTTGATCCACAGGCTTAATAAAAAGCTTAATTCAGTTTACGATATTCTTGTCAGTGTTATCATATTCATTTCACTGTTCCCAGAGCAACACATGTTTTCATGCATATTTCTGCTGGCACACACTTGTTTGTAGAAAATCTCTTTGCGCCCCCATGTGCCATTGGGGATAAAGAGGAATAACAAAGTACTCACTTGTTTCCACCTGCAATCATTGGTGTCTACAAGAAACTATCTTCTTTGAGTTGACTGCATGTTGATTAAACAGACATTGCGTTCAGTTTGTTGGTCGTGGGGAGTTAAGTACTACTCAGGCTTTGAAAACTGTTGTATGATATCATCTCTGGCTCTGAAAGGAGCTTTCTGAAGTCTGAGGAAAAAAAACCCTAGTGAAGTCATCGGCTTGGATTTGGAGATTACAAATTTATAACATTAAATCTGTGTTACAAACTGGGGCATGGAGTTCGAAAGATGTCGGCGTTTACCAGGGAGAAGTCTAATGAAAGATGCTTTTGCATTGCTTTATTGGAGTCGTAGAATCCAGCGATTTCAGAACTTGACCCATACTTGGGAACAAGTCAGGAGTCTCGTGCTAGTGCAATACTAAATTGCTGTAGTACATCTTTATTGCTGAACTGAGGCCTGAAATGGATTCACTTAGCTGACATCATGACATTTCATCCATATATGGTGTTATATCAGGTTACATCAAATGATTGTGTGGTTTCCAAGAATCTCACCCACAAGCTAATTCATGATCCTCTTAAGACAGAATGACTGTCAGTAATGGTTCAGTAATGACTGAATGACTAATTATCTCTAACAAACACTATCATAGTAAATCTGCCATGTCACTGCAGCAGGACTCAAGAGGGCTTATGAAACTCCATGATTCACTCCTATCACGTTGTCAAAGACGTGTGTAATTACTGTATAATAGCCAGCCTTCTACCGAATGCATCATCTAACCGATCCACAATGTCACATTTCACAGCTGTGTCCGGCAAAAAGTGACAGACATAACCTTACCAGGCTCAGAAGCAGTAGCTACTGTGGAAATGAGAGAGAGAGCTGTGGGTGCGATTTCAAATTGGGAATGAAAATGTTGCCCCATTAGGGCATAGTTGTGAGTCTAATAATATCCCCTCATTCCTGTGAATCAGAATCAGTCAGAAATACTGGTTTTAGATGCCGGGTGTCATGAATAAATTATTTCCTCCTCGTTTTAGTGCACACAGAGGATGGAGTGTTGGGGGAAGAGGAGGCTGATTGACAGCAATGTGTAATGCTCTGTGAGGAAAATCTAAGAATCTAGAGTTGTTTGAATGAGTATGCAGATGCACAGTAGACTGTAAGCTCTTCTCTCTAGGATCTGGGACAGCTGTGCCTGATCTATATTGTGGTGTCTTTACTTTGACACAGGTACGTTTTAATTTTATCCATAACGTTTCCACAGTGCTGTAAAATACGACACATAGGTACTACACATACTTGCACTGGTGGCATATCATCTATGACGTGGCATTTACTGTGTCATTATGGTTTGAAAATCTTGACTTGTCACTAAAGGTGACTGGGACTTTGATTTCTGAGCCCTCCACTGTGGAACTAAAAGTAATGAATAAACTGCAGAAATAGCTAAAAGTAATGAATAAACTGTTAAAATAGTTAGCTAAAAGTAATGAATAAACAGTTGAAATATTTAGCTAAAAGTAATGAATAAACTGTTAAAATAGTTAGCTAAAAGTAATGAATAAAAAGTTGAAATATTTAGCTAAAAGTAACGAATAAACAGCTGAAATAGCTAAAAGTAATGAATAAACAGTTGAAATAGTTAGTTAAAAGTAATGAATAAACGGTTGAAATAGTTAGCTAAAAGTAATGAATAAACAGTTGAAATATTTAGCTAAAAGTAATGAATAAACGGTTGAAATAGCTTAAAGTAATGGATAAAATGTTCAAATAGTTAGCTAAAAGTAATTAATAAACGGCTGAAATATTTATCTAAAAGTAATGAATAAACAGTTGAAATATTTAGCTAAAAGTAATGAATAAACGGTTGAAATAGCTTAAAGTAATGGATAAAATGTTCAAATAGTTAGCTAAAAGTAATTAATAAACGGCTGAAATATTTATCTAAAAGTAATGAATAAACTGTTGAAATATTTAGCTAAAAGTAATGAATAAACTGCAGAAACTGCTAAAAGTAATGAATAAACAGTTGAAATATTTAGCTAAAAGTAACGAATAAACTGCTGAAATAGCTAAAAGTAATGAATAAACAGTTGAAATAGTTAGTTAAAAGTAATGAATAAACGGTTGAAATAGTTAGCTAAAAGTAATGAATAAACAGTTGAAATATTTAGCTAAAAGTAATGAATAAACGGTTGAAATAGCTTAAAGTAATGGATAAAATGTTCAAATAGTTAGCTAAAAGTAATTAATAAACGGCTGAAATATTTATCTAAAAGTAATGAATAAACTGCAGAAACTGCTAAAAGTAATGAATAAACAGTTGAAATATTTAGCTAAAAGTAACGAATAAACAGCTGAAATAGTTAGCTAAAAGTAATGAATAAACTGCTGAAATAGCTAAAAGTAATGAATAAACTGTTGAAATATTTAGCTAAAAGTAACGAATAAACAGCTGAAATAGTTAGCTAAAAGTAATGAATAAACTGCTGAAATAGCTAAAAGTAATGAATAAACTGTTGAAATATTTAGCTAAAAGTAATTAATAAACGGCTGAAATATTTATCTAAAAGTAATGAATAAACTGTTGAAATATTTAGCTAAAAGTAATGAATAAACTGCAGAAACTGCTAAAAGTAATGAATAAACAGTTGAAATATTTAGCTAAAACTAATGAATAAACTATTGAAATATTTAGCTAAAAGTAATGAATAAACATTTGAAATGGTTAGTTAAAAGTAATGAATAAACGGTTGAAATAGTTAGTTAAAAGTAATGAATAAACAGTTGAAATATTTAGCTAAAACTAATGAATAAACTATTGAAATATTTAGCTAAAAGTAATGAATAAACATTTGAAATGGTTAGTTAAA